CATTATATTTAACAGCTGGCGAAAGACATACTACTACTTCCTTCAGCATAATCTGACTAAAATATGAATTGAAATTTCAGACTTGACCATGGCATGGGGAAAGGTAAGAGAAAAAGGAAGGACAGAAGGTGGGGGAAGAGGGAAGGAGGCGCCCTCTAGGGGCAGAGACCTTCTCTGACCTGTTTATTGCTTCATCCCTCAGCACACAGCATCATGTCTGACACATAGTAGGCGTAAACAGTCACTGTGTGGAATTAATATTTATTTCCACCTGCCAGGCACCAAAGCTTTCACATTTCTTATTGTAGCTAATCCTCTCAACATTTCTACAGAATCAGAATTATTATTATCCCTCTTTAACAATAGCTATATATTGTGCTGATACAAAATAACCTACCAATGGTTGAGTAAGAAAGGAAAATGAATAGTAAAAATTAGGTTCATAATCATGTAGTTTTAACCCATTCAAGTAAAATGAAAGGAGAGATGACTGGAAGTTATCATATGACTCATTTCAAATAAAATGAAAAGAGAGATGACCAGTAAGTGATAGTATGAATAAGGGTATATGAGTTTTGTAGATACTCTGTTCAGTGATTGTCATAGGTACCACCGTGAAGACTTTATAACTCAGCATGATACTAACTCTTGGTGTGCTCTGCATTTTAGGATTCAGAAAGCAACATGGGGAAAGGTGAACCAGGTAGACTGGTATTTAAAAAAATAAAAACACGAAACAGCAGCAAGGCTTACCACTATCAGCCATCACCAGCAAGGTGTCAAGACACTGAATACAATTCAACTAAATTGAGGGAAAACGGATTACCTTGTGTGCCTATTTAAAAGTTTGGTGGATCTTGAGAGGAATAAAAAAGGGATTTGCTTGTTTCAATGTATCTCAAACCCATATGCAAATAGAACTCTGATACTGCACTACACATATATAGTCAAAGACAATACTTTGTATTTAAGAGGAGCAGCACACACTGTAACTGCAAATGAATGACACACACAAAAAAATGAGCCAGACAATGTTAAGCTCCAATGAAGAATTTTGGTAATTACGAGCTGTATTTTAAAAATCGCCATCAAATATGTTTGTCTCCATTGTTTATGATTCCTCTGAAGATTGAAAACATTCTCTTCCCTGCGGCTCCCCTTCCCCTGCCATTTTATCCTTTTCTACTGCTTACTACCACTCATGTCAAATTACTCGTGTGTGTGTGTGTGTGTGTGTGTGTGTGTGTGTGTGTACAGGAATGACAGAATTTGAATGTCTCTCTCCAAAAAATTTAAACATAAAATGAGCTCTAGGACAGGACAGGGATTGGTGTTGTTTTTTAATGGGTGGATCTTGAGGAGATCCAGGAATAGGGGCTATATAAACCAGAGACCAACAGGGTGGCATTTGTTATTTACTTAGTAAACAGAAAATTGCTAAGTACCTACTCAGATAAGCACTGGGCTAAGTAGTGGACATCCGGAAAAGTGAAAGACGTGCGAGTTTATTGACGGGTATGATAGGAAATTACAGTTCACTGAAAGGTAAATTTTTGTTTTGAAACCTAAACCCCATAGCTAAATGGATCCAAGAAATTAACAAATACTTATTCGGTTCTGTTGATGATCTTCCCCTTGAAATATTCTTTTACTAAACTTCGTAACACTATGTCTTCCTGAAATTGTTTTCTTTATGTCTTAGATTCCTTTGCAAGATTTTCATTGCTAGTCTGTTGTTTAAATGTTGGTGTTTCCTAGGGTTCTGGCCTAGGATTTCATTTCTTCTCATTCTAAATACAGGGAACCTGCAAGTTCACATTTGCTCTATGACTTTTAGTATCATTCCTATGATATGGACAACAGATATGATGGCATCAAATTCTGCATGTTCCTATCAAATACCTTCTGAGCTCCAGACTCATATGAACCTCCCTTAACATTACTACCTGGCATTTCAAAATATCAAAAATTGAACTGATCAGTTTCCTCCTATATCACTGATGAGCAGAACTATCTGTGAAGTTGCCAAATCGAGAAACCCAACGATCATTCTTAACTCCTTTCTTTTTACTTCCTAACAACCAATCTCAAAGTTCCACGGACTTTGTATTCTAAAACACACTAAGAAGTCACCCACTCCTCTTCATGCTCACTGCTACCACTCAATCCAGGTCACCAACATCTGTTGCCAAGAGTCTCACAAATGTCTGCTTAATCAGCCTCCCTGGTTTCAATCTTGCCTGACTCTAATAATTTTTCACTTTACAGCCAGCTGTCTATTTAAAATGCAGATTTATCATATTGTTCTCTTATTTCAAACCCTGATCCAATTTCTCATATACTGAAGGTAAAGTCCAAACTCTTCTATGAGGACCTTTAGATCTCCATCTCCTTAAAAATTCTTATTTTGCTGCCCCTCTCTCAGATGCTACATTCCAACATATTGACCTTTCAGTTCCTTAAACATGAAACTGTGCTCCTACCCTAGGCCTTCCCCTATTCTTTCCATTGCCTAAAACTTTTATCTTCACCGCAAACTTGCCTAGCTAACTCCTAGTTATCAGCCCAACATTGGCTTCCTTTGGGAAGCCTTCTTGGATGGCTTCCCACTCCAGCTCAACCTACGTCCAACTGTACTTAATCCCCTTTTTACTTCCACCAACCTACTCTTACCTATGACACATCAAGAACAGATGTTCTTATGATATGTTCCCACAGTCACTTATACTTTCCCTTTAATACAATTTTTGAGTATTTTATTATAAACACTGATTTCATAGTCTTCACTCGTTGTGATATAGAGGACAAGAAACCATCCAGTATACACAGCCTGCCTTTGTATCCCTAGCACTTGGTAAAGTGGTGTGCAGAGAATTGGTGCTCAATAAGTGTTTGTTTAATAAGTAAATGGAGTACCTCATTTATAGGAAACTAGAAAGGGTTTAGAGCTAAATAAAACACCCCCTACCCCTAAGGAGAATAACATAAAATGCAGAATGTCTGTTATACATAATTATAACATGATAATGAGTAAATAAAATTGACTCCAATTTGGATACATGAGGATTTGCTAACATTGTAAATTGGAATTAAATATTTAGTTCTCCCTTCTGGGATAATCTAATCCACACTAAACACTTCCGGAAGACAGTTTTATGATTTTCTATTACAGATGAGAAAATAGGCACAGCAAAGTTAATTGAGTTATCCAAGGTTACCTAGTGAATCAAAAACAGAGCCAGGTACTATTGTGTCATTGTAGGATTTCAGCCTATATACTTGAATAGAATTCTCCAAACTATTACCTATGACATTCATATGTGAATATAGAAACTCGGGAATACAGGTGCTTCCCCAAGAATTTTCCTCTAGCCTTTAACATTATAGGCTTTCTGTGATAGGCTTCTGTACTCTTTTACATTCTGAGAGTTCCTTCTTTATTCATAATCTAGTGTTAGTATCAGGCACCAGTCACCACTACAAAGTGTCAACATTTAACTCTTCTGCTCTGGGACATTATATTGTACATTCTCCATCTATAAATGTCCATAGCTAGTTGGCTGGTACATTCTATTGCACTGGATGGACATTTCAGTGGAAAATGCTGCCAGTATTTAATAAACATCTGAGAAGCGACATAGGCTATTAAATTTAATGAGATTACTAGTTTCAACATTTGTACTGTGAAAGGAAAAACTAGTTGTGCCGACATTTCAAAAGGCTAGATATACACTCAATAAATATGTTTATGTATGTTATTTTGGGGGCAATGGTAAATGCCACACATAACCACAATGCCTAAAAAAGACTTTCTCAATATACACACTTAATATACAAAGAGCTAGGCTTTTTATAACAAGCATTGCTGATATGAGTTTCACAGAAACAGGAAGGGCAAATATACACTTGAGATTCTTCCCAGCCCCAGACTGGACTAACCAATGCTCTTTGCTTTTTATACCTGAATGTAGTACAAGATGCTAAAATAATCTAATCTGTACAGAACTGCAGCTAACATGTACCACTTTTATTTGGATGTATAAACTATGGTTCATCTGCATTTTCAGATCAATTATACAATTTTCTCTTGATGGATATACCATCAAATAGAAGAATGCCCAATCATAGAACATTTCCCTTGCTCTTTGGACTCTACATGACCTACCTTTCATTTGCCGAAAGCAAACATCTTTACCCTTAAATTACTCAAACCAGCTCATTACATCACTCTCTAGTCTTGCCTTGTAGCTCCAGGTCCATGAAGATCTCTAAATGTCCAAAGTATTTACTGTTCTTAATCCCCAACGTGACATTAAGTGAATTGGTTCTGTCATGGGAATATAACTGATTATGTTTCCCCTAATAAAAACAGACACTTGAGTTACCCATTTGTAAGTTAGTCCAATGTGAAAGGAAGGGAGAACTTCTGTCAGATGCCATCTTAACATCCATTGCTCATATCATGAAAATGTCAATAAAAATTTGAGTGGAATCTTTCTAACACAATTTTCCAGCCCAAGAAATGTGAAGAAATCAGATTAAATTGCCAGGCTGTACAAGGTAATCTTAAGCTCTATTTATATATTAATTGGTTGGTCATTGGTAGATGACACCATTGGTCAATGGGGTCAGAATACTTTTGACTTTTACTTGAAAATGTGGATTCCACGAATTCATCCTCATTCATCTGTCCTGTTTAAAGGGAAAAGACTATGAGAGGATACTGCCTTCATTTCCTAATGCTGCAGTCCCTATTATGCTATACGAAGAAATAAAATTTCCTTTCAGAAGTAGCATAGATGCTGATTTGGCTTTCTGCTTTAGGTAAGTGCTTGCGGAGACTTCTAAAGGAAGCAAATTCCAACTTTACAGTTCTGACATTGTACTTGTCATCCTATTTGCTGTACCAGTGTGAATGTGACAATAATAAAGGATAAAAGAGCAAAAAAACAAATGTTTTCATACCAAGGATACTCGCCCTATTTAAAAATTTACTTTACCTGCAGAGATTCCATTTCTTCATCTTTTCTTTGGGTCTCTTCTAGTAGATCTATAATAAGAAAGTAAAATGCCCATCAAAATGCAATGTAAAAATGAGTTGCCTCTTATCATCAAATGCAATTCAGCCAGTAGCTTGTATAAACTGTTGCCTGAGAAGAGATTTTAATGTTTAAGTGTGAGAAGCAATGTAAAAGAAACATCCTCTGATCCCAACTGATGACATGTGGCAGAGCGCTGGAGCCTGCTAACTCTAAGCTAGCTGAGAAGCCCTGGAAGATCTCTCAGCTTTACCTGACATACCACAGGATGATACCAAATCAAATAAAAATCACCAATACTTTAGGAATTTGGCCTCATGCTTACATAACTCAATGCAATATAAAATCTCCTTTAGAAAAAAAGAAAAGCCTTTTTCTTTTGAAAGAAAAATCAGAAACAAACCATTTTCCCTTAAAATAAGCTCCCAAGCCACGTTCTGCCTCCAGAGTCAATTTTTATCACCAAATTAAAACACCCTGGAATAATAGATGTTATTAATGGAAGTAGAACCTAACTTCATCTATAAAGTCTTATTAATTATCGTTTCACACTGACAGGGTGGGAAGCTGCATTGAAGCTACATTTGACTAAGAGTTTGGCACCATACCAAAGAAATTAGTGGTTGGAAGGGAAGGTTATCAACTGAAGAGAGCTCTGTCTTAATGCATGTATACAGTCACGGTGTCTCAGTGCCCTACATTAATTTATGAACTTGCTATTAAAAAACATATTTTCTGCCTGCAGCTATACCTTGCTGTGCTATGATCTTATTAGATCTCATAAAACCAAAGAAGACTAGGCTGAGTCAGAACTTGAAAGTAACACCTGGTAAGAAACACCTACAGCAGTGTACATTAACATGAGTATCTGCCTTACTCTCTCATTGATACAGCTTACCAAGAGGCTATGTTACATAAAACGAAAATATAAGTTACAGAAGTCTAATATGTATCTCAGAAAGGCAAACTCAAATGTTGGAATAAGTGCTATACTAGATACAGCAGGAAACAGTCAGATAGTGGGTGGCAAAGTCACGCTGACATGTCATAACCGGGAAGGTGACACATGAAAATTTCAAGAGACCTGGCAGATGACAGAACTGATGGCGATGACCCTTTGAGACTACACAGCTAAGAGGGTTACAGAGGAGTGGCAACCAATCTCCTGGAGACACAACATGCCTGGATTAAGGATAAGAGATTGTTTCTATAGTGTATGCTGTAGAGGAACAGCCTTTGGCTCCCAAAACCTCCCATAATCAGGTACATCAAAAAATAAAAAGAGCAGGCCAGTGTTTTAAGGTGTATTCTTAAAGGGGTTTTGATTGGCATATCATGTTCTTTAGCTATAAGATACTGAAACCAACTTAGGGTACAGAAGATTGTTTAAGTGCCCTCAATCATTCCTCTTCCTGCATCTTCACTCATTTGCACTGCAGCCTTGTAGCTACTTCTTTCAAGAGGCCATGCACATGTCCTTTACTTCTTGCATCTGGGCTGGCCTCCTGACTTGATTCGGTGAAGAGAATATAGCTAAAGCTGAAGTGATTCTGTTTTAGTTCGCATCGAGGCTTTAAGAGGCCTCACGCATTGCTACTTTTTTACTTGGAACCCTGTCACTGACATCTGAATAGGCCCAGAACAATCTGCTAGATGAAGACGGGCACATGGTCTAGAACTCTTCCCACCTCTGTCACCCTGCAAGGTGCCCCAGCTGCCAGCCAGCAAATGCGCAGAAGCAGAGTTGCCCAGTCAATCTGAGGATGACTACAGATGACTGAGATGGGTGAGATGGGAGTCCAACTGAGACCAGACAAATCACCCAGCTGAGCCCAGCGTCCACTCCAACTCACAGAACTAGGAGCTAAATCAACGGAATCATGGAGTGGTTTGGTACCCAGGACTTGCCAACTGATAGAAATGAGTTTCTAACTGAATAACATGTATTTAGAGTTTATTAGAAGGATACAGAGGTAACTAATAGATAATATTGGAAAAGAGGATCCCAAATATGAAGGGAATAACAATTAGGGCAGGTCTGGGTGGGTCAAGATGTGGGCAGCATGAGCTAATGAGCATTTTATTCTGGGCTCCCCTAAACTGTGTGTCATTCTACTCAAGATGAAACTTCAAAAAGAGAACAGCTATTGAGCCTAGCTTAGATCTCTTGCCCACTGCTTGGCTAGGGGAAAGTACGGAGTACTTTCATGGATAACCCCAAAAGGATTGGACTAAGAATAGAAAGACTAGTTTCCAAATGCAAAATTAGGGTTCTATAACAGGAGAAGGAAGAATGGACATCATAATGGCCAAAACAACAGATTTCTACACCAACTGGTTTCAGTAAACTGTGTCCTTACCCCAACTCTCTTCAATATTTGTAAGATATAAGATCACTGCTGTGCTCCTATGAGGATGCCACTACTTAGCTCCACTACTTCTGGATATTAGGGGATTTTCAGAGCTGGGCCCTTTGTAATGAATTACGTTGTTTAATGGTGCACTGGAACTGGAGTGATACATAGTGGGGTTCATCAACCACAAAAGAAAACTAATCTTGTTCCTTCAGAGTTAACTTAGTATGGCAACTCCAAACAGCTTAGATAAAACTCACTAGATCAGTAATGAGTATCAGATCTTTTATGCAGCCAAACACAACTCACTCACTTGATAAAATATAAATGGAAAGAAGTCTAGTCTACTCACAGAACTTCATAAAATTATAGCAACTTACAAATTATGTTCTCAGTTTTCTTGAAATATATATGGGTCACACTACTCTTCCAACAAATCTGATGCCAATGACAATGCTTGATTTGGGATGGCTGAATAAAAACAACCAAAGAATTCCTAGAATTGGCATTTTAAATACATACATTTCAAATTTTAAATAAATATTCTCCCTGACTGACCGTCTTGTATAAAGGGTATAAGCAGATACCTGTCTTGATTTTGTTTTGTTTTGTTTTTTTTACCCTTTGAAAACTCCTGTTCCTCTTTTCCAGGTGATTTCCATGAAACTTTCGGTCAAGAGGCCTAACTAACCCTTCCTGCTGCAAAAGTAGGTCGAGACCCAGGCTAGCAAGTAAGAGCATCTTACTGCCCTGAGCATATGAGCTAAGCAACACCAGAGGTGTCCTTTTAGAGGATTAATAGGGATGCCAGGAGAGAAACTATCTCCTTTGAAGCCACAGCTTATATTAGCCTGGTGTTTCGAAGTCTGTATTTTCTATTGTGTTGAAGAAACTTATTCAGCAATGAGGCTGGTGAAGAAGAAATGAGAGCCAAGAAAAAGAGAGAGAACTGCTTGAGGACTACACCCTTGACTGATGCCACAAACCTCCTTCTAATCTTTTCTTTTCTTTTTCTTTTTGTTGTGAATACTGACAGTTTTACTTCTTCCATCTGTCTTTATGCCTCTCCCCACCCTGTTTCTTTCTCTCTCTCTCTCTCTCTCTCTCTGTTTCTCTCTCTCTCTCTCTCTCTCTCTCTCTCTCTGTGTGTGTGTGTGTGTGTGTGTGTGTGTGTGTGTGTGTGTGAATTCTTTGGCAAGGATCGTTAGTACAATAATGGATAGAAGTAGTGATAGTGGGTAGTGTCCTCGTTTTGTTCCATTGTTTTATCATTGTTTTTTGTTAATAAACGTTTTCAGTTTAAGAAAATTTACTCCAGTTCTTGTTTGCTGATTTGTTTTTGTTTTTTTGAGACAAGGTTTTTGTTTTTGTTTTGTGAGACAAGGTTTTTGTTTTTGCTTTTTGAGACAAGGTTTTTGTTTTTGCTTTTTTTGGGATAAGGTTGCCCTTGTCTCTGTTGCCCAGGCTGGAGTGGAGGTGGTGCAGTCATGGCTTACTGTAACCTCGAACTCCTGATCTCAAGCAGCCCTCCTGTCTCAGCCTCCTGAGTAGCTGGGGCTACAGGCCCTTGCCACCACACCTGGCTTGCCCAGCTAATTTCTGTATTTTTAATAGAGACAGGGTTCAACCATGTTGGCCAAGCTGGTCTCGAACTCCTTAACTCAAGTGATCCACCTGCTAAAGCTTCCCAAAGTGCTGGGATTACAGGCATGAACCACTGCGCCCTACTGAAAAATTCTTCAACAAAATATTAGCAAGTCAAATCTAGCAGTATCTAGAAAGGAAAGCCCATTATAACCAAGTTGAGTTTATCTCAAAAACTGCAACTTGGTTCAATATTCAAAAGGAATCAGTGTAGTTCACCACATTAACAGAATAGATGGCGGGGGAGGGGCGGGGATTGTATCAATAGTGTCTTTGTCTTAGACCATTTTGTGGTTTTTTTTTGAAAGAGAGAAAGAGAAAAAAAGGAATGAAGAAGAGGAAAAAAGGAAGAGCAGGAGGGAGAGAGAACGGGAGTGTTGTTTAGTAGTCTTTTTTTCTTAAATTAGCTTTAGTTGGATTATTGCCATTTTTTAAAGTCTCTAGGGATGTGGTGATACTAAACCCTCTTATCTCTATTCAGAAACCTAGAGAACTTAAGAGTTGAGAAGAACTTTTAGACCATCTTAAAATGTTTCAGCCTATAACAAATATACAAAGACATAAGACTCAAAGAAATGCAAATGGTCTGGCTGAGTTCACCAGTCCCTTTAAGAGCTTTGCTCTCCTATCATCCTGCTCTGGCTAATCATGCTCTCATTTGTACCGCTCAACACTGAATTGCACTCTTCTTCATAACGTTACTTAAAAATAAAATACACACTTGTTTGTATTCTTCTGACCTGCTTTAAAAGTTCTCTGATGTCAAGTCACCAATCAGGGCATCCATGACTTTCTTTTTTAGACAGGGTCTCACTCAGATGCCCAGGCTGGAGTGCAGTGGCAGGATCTCGGCTCACTGCAACCTCCGCCTCCTGGTTTCAAGTGATTCTCCTGCCTCAGTAGCTGGGATTACAGAGGCCCACCACCACGCCCGGCTACTTTTTATATTTTTAGTAGAGATGGAGTTTCACCACGTTGGACAGGTTGGTCTTAAACTCCTAACCCCAAGTGAT